TGGATTTTGTGCTGAGGGACATGGTTTAGTGAGAACTATTGGTGATAGGTGGATGGTTGGACTGGATCTTGTAGGTCTTTTCCAACCTTGGTGTTTCTGTGATTTTGTAAAACTTCAGATGGTTTCAAATGGAATACAGTATAGATATTGTATTCCTTTTTCCTTCTCTTTACTCTTGTCTTTTCTAGCAGTCCTCATCCCTGTAGCCATTTGTTATTGCTCTCTTCCTAACCATGGGAGTCGAGTGTTTCAAGAGCCATCAGTGAGAGACTTTGTCAAATACCTTTTGAATGTCTCAGAAAACTGTATTACTTGTCTTTTTTTTGTCTGCATTCTTCTTCAAGGATTTACAGTACATTCAGAACGCTTTCTATTAATTTCTGCAGTACAGATGCCAGCATTACTGGTCTTTGGTTCTGTAGATTGTTCCTGAAATCCTTTCTAAAATGATTCACTGCTGATGAAGCTGTGTTCATTGAGAGGATACTCAATGCAGTTTAGTAGTTTGAGACAGCGCAGGGGACAGAATACTATTAGGGATGGAGGGATTTCTGTAAACTGGCTTATCCACTGATATGGCTTATGAAACTCTATTCTTGATGTTTTCTTTATATTATTTAATTAAACAGGGCCTGCAAATGTTAATGGAATTCAAGCTTTGCAGCTGCCAGTCTAATAAAGCACTACAGTTACAAGCAGAACTAAATTTCTGTAAAGCTACTGACTCTTCTCTTCTACTAGATCATTTTTCTTAAAAATATCAGTGATTTAGTGATGGATCATAGAACCATAGAATGGTTTGGGTTGGAAGAGACCTTTAAGGTCATCTACTTCCAACCCCCTTGGCTATAGTCAGGGTCACCTCCCAGGTTGCTCTCAGCCCCATCCAGCCTGGCCTTGAATGCTTCAGGGAGGGGGCATCCATAGCCTAGCTAGCCAAGCTCTTCCAGTGTCTCACTGCCCTCACAGTTGCATGAGACCTATTCCATGTGTCTTGTTTGGCTCCAGTGAAGTAATTTTTCAGAACAGGTACTTTGTTACCAGCAGAGGGAAAGATGAGAATGCACACTGAACTGATTATAATGTTTAGTTTTGAGATCTAAAGAGAAAATGAAACATTTCTAAATAGTTTCATAGTGTTGTATGTGGAAAGGCTGTTGAATATAATCAAAGGTCAGTCCCAATTAAACAGAAATAAATTATCAACATAACTTTAAATAGAACTACCAAAATACAGATTTTCATATTTAGAGAATAAATGAAATTTTGAGGTCTGATTTGACAAAAAATATCAGCTTATGTAACTTCTGGGTCTTCTCTGAGATGTTAGAAGTGTTACTCAAGGAAAAGACTTCAGTTTTTAAAAGCAAACATTGCTGCATATATGAATTTCTTCTGTCCAAATGTATAACAAGTGAGTGGCATATATATTTAGAAAAATCTCCACTCATAACAACAAAACAAAATTCTGAATTTGCTGATTTCCAATAAAATTTAGTAAAGAATAAATCACTGAAACTATCAATAAATTGGTATTGTCTATCACCATATCGCAAACAAGCTTTAATAAACATCACTGTGGAAAACTTCCCTCACAAGAATGTGCCGTTTCAAATATACCTTATAAATGTGGCTTTGAATGACAGAAATATAGGGCTGACCTAGATTCTGAGGTCTTGCATCAGATATTCAACTTGTTAACATTTTAAAATTGTCTTTTGTTGAATCGAATGTTATGGAGAACTTCAGAGAATATTTGTTAAAAAAAAAAAAAAAAAAGTATAAGTACAAATTAAAATATTTGTAAAGTACATACTTCATTGTATACTTGCATTAACCAGTTAATCACACAGAGGGTCTACTGCGAAAGCATGCAGCCTTGTCACAAGTGAAATAGTCATACTGACATACCGTTAAAGGAGAAAACATTGAAACTACTGAGCCAAAGAGACAATGTATTGTTTTCTTCTTGAGCTATAGGTAGCTCTCCTTAGTTAAGGAGTTTTAAAATGATTTGCTATATTCTTCTTCAGGGATATTAGTACTTTTATACCTTTCTGGTAACCTTCAGATATCATTGACATTACTAGAAATGTTGAATTGTACTTATTTTTTAGTCTACATTAAAATTTTATTCATTTCACTCATGTGGAAGAATGGTCTGCAATGATGGTACCACACAGAAAATAATTATCAGATTTTTAAAAATAAGCATATGTTTGGAATTGATGTAGGGGCAGGGACTGTCTCTAATTAAATGTTTATACAGTGCCTAATATAATAAAGCCAGGAGCTGGTTGACTGTTATGCTTGGCATGGTCCAAATATTTAATAATAATAACAGTTCTGCAGTCAATTTGATCTTACTTTTGATATTTACAAGTGTTTTCCTAACACACACGCTGCAGACTTAGGCAATCTGAAGGGCTTCAGGCTTAAATTCTGCAGTCTGTTTGATTCTACAGTATCCTCTATTTTGGCACTCAAAATCTTGACCCAAATTCTGTTTCTTTCTATTTGTTTTGCGTGTTACATGATGGATGGGGGAGAACCTTGTGTTGAGGGAAGTGGAACAAGTATCCAGCAAATGTTCAGGAATGAAGGTGAAAGAAGTGCCACTATTACTATTTAAAGTTCCTGTAGATATGCCTATAGTACAACTCTAAGTTAAAGAAACTTTCACAATAGGTTCTGTGAAAACTTCTTCTGAATTCAGTATGCATATGGTTTGCTGTAAGAGTTGGGACTCCTTAGTCAGGAGACAGAATTTCATACTTTTGACTTTATTAAGGAATTTTTACTGGTATAATGCCAGCTTCCACTTAAATGAGGGTTATCTTCACACGGGACAGAAGTCTGAAAACGTGGAACTGTGAAAACCTTTGGAAGCCAACACCTGCAGATAAAGAGTTTTTTCTTGAGATGGTTGGGTAACCGTTTCCATGTACATGATATTCTCTATGTGCCTAAAAATAAGGGCCCCTAACCTCTGGGCCAGCTTCTACAGTCAGGAAAAGCCGTTGTTGGATTTAGGTGCAGTTTATTGCTTAAGAATTAAGAATTTGTGATTTCTGCCTTTTGTTAAGTTTTACAATAATTATTGTGCTGAAAAGTATACGTGTTACTGATTTCCCAATCAGTTCATTTAGCTAGTATTTCTGGATATGACAGTTATGAATAAACATATATGCTGCAAATGGTATGCTTCCTCTTTCAGTCACTTCTTTAAGAAAACGTACAATGCCTGTTCCTCTGTAAGGCAATATTTTCTTGTCTAGTATTTGGACTGAATCTTTAGAATTTTTTCTGCAAGTCTCTCTTCACTAAAGCAGCCTTAGAACATAATTTGGAATAACTGATGTCCTTGCTGGGACTTAGTGGAAGCAAGCTGGATTGATGGACTTTTTGTCCACTTGTGAATATTCCCAGGAAGATCATGAAATTATGCGTAGCCTGATGAGTACACTGGGAACCAGCAAATAAGAAATTATGGAAGCCAGTCTTTATTTCATTTAGTGGCATTTCTTTATCTTAGAACCACAGAATGATACGTTACAGTACCTTTATACCTTGGGCTCCCTAACTTGGCTGCTTAATAGTAGTTTTAGCATGCTCTTCATAAGCAGGCAAAGAGTCATGAAAATAGATTATTTACTAGCTGATTTTCAAGAGTTTTTTCTACAAATTTTTACAACCAGCCTGCTTTGCTCTTGCTTCAGAGCTCTAGCTCTGATTTTTTAACACTCAACAGGCATAAGGAGCAGGAGAGAGTGTGGCACATTGTATTTACTTTAAGAGATGAAAAAAGTGATGCTGCTCTTGTGTGAGGATACTACCTCATTCCCTATGGAACTACATTTTTGTACGCTGACAACACTTACTGCCAGAAGCACTGAATGCCATAGCTTGATTGTGAGCAGGCAGTTCTTGAATAAGTTGCTAGTAAGTTAATGCTCTTACAATTTTGATTGCATTCTTTCCCAATTGTTTATACTTACGTTGCATTGAATCACATATTTTTGTATTTTATGTTTATAAAACATGTATTGTTGAATATGAGCTTATCTTTTATGGTTTAGCTTTTCCTAGTACAGTGATGGAAATGTCTATGTAAGTGAGCAGAAAACTGAGAAATTAAACCAATATGTAATAGTACAGCAAATTTTACTTTTGTAGTCAGCTGCATGATTTCAGAGGTCTTATGACTTAGGGATTTTGCATATATACATATATGTGCATATGTGTATGCATATTTCTCAAGCAGAAGGCATTTTTAATTACCAGAGAGATACTTGCTTTTAGTAAACTGAAAAGTGAAGAGAAACAAAACATATGTAGGAAATGTCTTAGTATCATAAGATCAGAATCACTACACTGAAAGCTAAGAGAAAAAAGACAAGGCAAGACAAAATCTTTCTTTTTTTTTTTTTTTTGGTAATGTTTGTCTTCACATAAAAAGCCTACAAGTTTTTTTTTTTTGTGTTTTCTTCCTGTAAACATTTACTTCATTGTACTGATTCTCAGAATAGTAGGAATTGTTAGTTGAATGAATAAAACGATCATGAAATGAATGGGTACAAAAATACAAACAGGCTGATTGTGGCACTAGAATGTATCTGTTGTCAACCTTTGCAGGTTGTCTTGCAGTTGTACAGTTTCATTGGCCCCAAATGGTACTTATTGAACATTTATTTTTTATTTGTTTGGACCATTCCAGTATTAAACAGGCAGCATGAGGGAATAATGAGCTGCATTCTTTGGGTTACTGAAGAGTCAGCACAAATTGTGGGAACAAATAACAATCAGACAAGGCTGTGTTTTATAACATCAGGACTGCAATCCATCTTTGGGGTCTTTCAAAGCTGGGCTAATAAAGGCTCACTTACAATCCCCAGCAGAGCACAATTTAATTAAATTTGTCCATTAAAGTACTCCTCCCCCTCACTCTACATTTTAAAAATTAATTCTGCTTTGTGACTGTTGTTCTTTATACATCACAGATGCACTGAGCCTTCGTAACCGACAGGTCATCTGCATCACACTGAAAGTCCTCCAGCACCTGGTGGTATCAGCAGACATGGTGGGAGAAGCCTTAGTGCCCTATTATCGGCAAATCCTCCCAGTCCTAAACATCTTTAAGAACATGAATGGTGAGTTATCCTAACAGACACTGTGTTGTCTTCCAACCCCTAAGGTAAAAAGGGACTTGAGACAGGGTTAATTAACAATGTAGTTAAGATTTATTGCTGTATATAAACTCAAATCCATTTGGAGCTCTAAATAATGTAAACCCTCCCCCTTTACTATTCCCTAAGGATGCACTGAAATTAACAATTTCATTTATTACTCCTTGCACGTACAGTTTATTTAACTCAGTACAGAAGCACTGAAGCAGTTCTGTAATCTTCCAATAATTAAATTGTAAAGTTTTGTAAAAGTCTTGAATAAATTAATAAATTACAAAGGTTTTTCACTCCCTTAAATACTTCAGTTCATTCCACTTGTTTTGTTCAGTTCTACACTTTTCACAAGCAACATTCACAACTACCTGCAGACTTAGGAAAGAATGAAAATAAAAGGAGTAATCAAACTACTTAATTTGAGGGTCAAGATAACTCCTTGTATAAAACTTTCAAGTTGTATGATGTCTAGCAAAGTAGTGAAGTTTGAAGTTACTGTTTCTCACTTAGCAGGTTTTATTTGGAGAAATTTTGAACTATTTTGCATCTACAGTTGAGAATGTTTCTTTGTCTCAATCACTCTCTTGCTGCTGTCAGTCTTCAAAAACTGTGATACCGAGAGCCCCATGAATACCATGTAATGTGAATGCATTTACGCTGTAATCACCAGGTAAAAGCATTATGCTGTGTCTTGCTTTCTCCAAATTTCTCTTTAGGGTACTTTTCTGTACATACTATACATACTATCTGTACAATTATTTACCAAAGTATTGACTTTATGCTTATGTTGTTCACATGCAGCCCTATAGGTCAAAAGAATGTAATTCCTCTCAATACTGACAGTTTTTTCCTGAAATTCACGGCATTTTTATAGTTATCTACAAGACTGCTTCCTGTTTGCATTACCACTGAGTGTACTATCTTAAACTCAATCTTGTAATATCTTGGATTGAAAAATCCATGTCCAAAGACTGGCTTGAAGAATCAAATGAAATTTAGAATTTAGTTCTCTCTGAATACATAAATGTCTGTGACTACTAAAGGTAGTGAGAAACTTGCAATAACATGTGGGATTGCATAAATACAGTGTGATTCAGGTGACAATTGTGGTTTTAAAGAAGTTGTGGGAGGAAAGATTATGAATAAACTCAGTAGGCTGAGATTAAGTATATTCAATAAGGCTCATTATGTATTAGAATATTTTCCCTTCACAGATCAAATTTTAATATCTATCACAAAGAGAAGGTCTGTCAATGATCAGTAAATGATTTTTTTTTTCAATTTTTTTCCTGAGCTTTGATTTTGGTGTGTTCAAAGTAAAATGTATTTTCAACACATCTGCATGACATCTGTGCTATATATATTTGTGTGTATATCAGACTACACTAATTCTTCATATTTGGCATTTGTGAACTGAAAAACAAAAATAAGGGAAAACTAATAATTAGAAATTGATACATTTTATTAAATCATTACTTTCACAGGAATAAGATATTTGAAAGTTCAGTATTACCAGCAAGGCAATAGATAATATTTGCGAGACATATCACATGAAAATATCCCACTTACTGAATATTTGCCTACTGGTGACAAAGGAAAATTCTTCTGCTATTTCCATTTCCCTCAGAAAGCTTACATTTCTTTCATCTTTCACAAGCTCTTTAAAGAAATTGTATTTTTCTTTCTATCTCCTTTCTATCTCCTGTATGCTTAATAGAGAACTGAGGTACAAGTCTTTGCTCCCAGTTCTGAGTAAGGTTTAGAGGTGATTCAAGCTATTTTCTCCACTGCTGTTTTATATGGGTGGAAGATGGATTGAAGGAATGGATGCTCCTAAGTACTTCTTTGGACTAACTTAGAGGAAATGTGTTGCATCTTCTAGGAGTTCTATGTGTTGAGATCTAGCAAATCTGTCACTGTGGAAATTTGTCCAGAAATAAGGTAATTGGAAGGGGCCATGTTTTTGTCATTGTCATTTTGCTGGATAAATGTCTCCTCTGGAAGGAGTTCTTTCCCAAATTCAAACACCATTCTCACACAGATAGGCTTAAAGGCAACAGAACATGGGAAAAAAATAGTGTTAATAAGATCTTGTCAGCATCAAATGAAACTATCTGGTGATCAATTCAAGAAAAACCTAGCAAACCAAAAATCATGTATTATGTGACATCAAACTCTAGAGCTACTTACCCCAAATACTTTGGATAAAAAAAAAAAAAAAAATGGTGGAGGCTGAGAAATCATTTGGGTGAAATGCCACATATGCTCATCCTGCACTGGGGGGGTTGGACTCGATGATCTCTGCAGGTCCCTTCCAACCCGTACAATTCTGTGATTCTGTGATTCATATTATCTAGTCATCTCATTTTGACTAGATAATTGATTTTATCTTCTGGACTAGATGGACAACTGCAATTATCTCAAACATCCATCCTTATAGTCTTCTTATACTAATACCTAGCAGATTTGTGGAAAAACATGCAAGTCCTATTGAGTTTAATATTTTCTAAATATAGATGCCTCAGAAATTTTTTACACAGTAAATGTATTTGATTTGAACTCATCCCAAAGTATTAAACAAGCTTATAAGCAAAACAGAAAAAAATTTAGATCATGAAAAGTTATTTATGAAACAAACATAAAATTCAGTCTTGGGTTCAGCCTGACAGATGTTTATCTCTCGCGTTGTTCTTCAGTCACTGAAACTCATAAATTAGTTTGATATTACCCGAGCTTGAAATACAATGTTAGTTTGAGAAACTGTCAGTCCTGTCCCACTTCAAGCAATTTTTTCCAACTTCCCATCTGTTTCCCAACACTGAGGCTACAGTTTCACAGTCAGCAACAGTAGTATTTACTTGCCATTGCCTTCTGGGGCATTCTGTGATAAATAAAAGTAAGTAGGTTTGATGACTCTCCCTGTAGGCAGCCATTTGGTATAGCTGACTGTGGTTCCCACTGCAGATTTTTACTGAATTAGCTAGGGAGGCTATGAACTATGTGAATCCTCTTTTCTGAGATCTGAAGCCTTTGGTGTACAAGGATGGTATCTCTTTACTCCTATTCAGCCTGCTGACCACCTGTATCTTAAACAGCCTCAAATGTTCCTTTATACGGAGTTATCAATGCACTCTTTTAGAGTATACACTAAATGTTGATTATTCATGGAAGCATAGAATTTTATATATATTGCTTCTCTTTTTCATTGTGCTTTTGACATTTCCACATTTTCTTCTTCCCTCTACTGCTTCCAAATCATCCTGCCACTGTTTTATACACATAGTACTTTTTGTGAATTAACTCATTCTAATTTTGATCTCTTTTGCTATCTTACTATGTATCTTAAACATGCTTGTCTCTAAACATGAATGTCTTCATAATAGTTATGTTGTCTTGATGACTGATAATCTAGGTATTTCATTTCAAATTTTTAGCACCCATACTAGAAGTCTTCATCACAATATTTTTAGTCAACACTCCAAAAAATGCTTATTAATTTCTTCTCTGTAATGTCTTTTAGTGAAGTGTGGAGCATCTCTCCTACAAGGAAAGGCTGGTTAACTTGGATCTGTTCAGCCTTGTGAAAAGGAGACTGAGATCAATGTTTATAAATATATTAAGTGTGGGAGTCAAAGAGACATGGCCAACCTCTTTTCAGTGGTCTGTGGTGCCAAGACAAGGGGAACAGGCCATAAACAGGAGCTTAGGAAGTTCAGCACCAATATGTGAAAGATCTTCTTCACATGGTGATGGAATATTGGATAAGGCTGCCGAGGGAGCTTGTGGATTCTCCTTCTATGGAGATATTCAAGACCTGTCTGGACACCTACTTGTGCAGCCTGCTGTAGGGAGCCTGCTTTGCAGGGGGGTTGGACTCAATGATCTCTAGAGGTCCCTTCCAGCCACTACAAGTCTGTGTTTCTCTTGTAATTTCATATATCAAAAAATTATTTGCTTTTATTTTCCAAATTCTCTGGAATTTTATGTCTAACTGTGAAAACACAGTATGAATGGAATTGCTGTTAATCAGAAAATCGAAGCATGGCAAATACATATTATTATTAGAATCTGTGGGCCATGGATAGGAGATTGTCAGGTATGTGTTCAGAATAATAGAAGTGGAGGAGTGGATTGGTTCAGTATGGGCATATTCTGCCTTTAATTATTCATTTCTATTTCTTGTGTATAGATGACTTTGGCACTGAGATTTTTTTAATTTTTTTTTCAGTAAAAAAATTATAAATTGATAAGAAATTAATTAAATATTTTATTTATTTAAAATAGGTAAAACATGCTCATGCATTTGAATAATAAAATAAAGATATCAATAAGTCACTGCAACCTAAATAACAAATGCCATGGAAAGATCCAAGTCTCGGAAGTCAGATACCTGACATTTTTGAAAGCCAGAATGAGAAATCTCGATGAGCTTTTGAAGAGTCTGTGTAATGAGCAAGAGGGTTTTTGGTGTGCAAAACATGCTTGGTATGTCTGAATTTGTGCCCTCTATAGATTCTAAGCCCTAGACTCACATGAGACATTTCTCTTCGTTTGGGTTCCCAAAAAACTATTGCAGAGCAATATGACCTAAAAGAAAAGTTTTCCTGGTGGTGATGCAGATGCTAGTGTTTTGAGTATTTGTGGAGAAAGTGAGAGCATCATCACCAAGTGTACACCGTATTCTGAAAAAGGATTGAAGCCTTCTGTAAAAACTCTTAGCCAAAGTCATAAAATCAGCAGGAGAGCAAGTAGAAGGGGTCATGTCTTGATCCCAGTGATTAGGGAATACTTGTGAAACACAGGAGCTGTTTGCCTAATCTCTGTAGACTAAGAGAGGGTACCTAGCACCCTCTGAGCAAGCTCTCTGGCATATGGACTGTTATGCAAAAATGCTACTATGTAATATGAGAAACAAAAAAGTCATTATAATGCTTACCAGGTCTACTCTGTACCATGTAATGCCACTTCAG